CCCCCATTAAAGCAATCAATAGATGCAGCCGCTGCATAAGCCCTGCTGTCAAGAGAAAAATCAATTCTGGGAGGGAAGCGAGAGTGTAGTGGAAATGGGGATGTGACGGACACCTGGCCCAGCCGACGGGATCCAGCGGCAGATGTGCGTGGGTGTGTTTGTCGGGACACGCCTCCGTGTTTATTCGCTTCCGCTGCAGCTTTGTGCTGTGTATCTGCGAGGGTGAATTTCTCTGTGTGTCTGTATGCTGTTCCTGTCACTTTAGCCCCCAGACAGGCTGCTGGTGCACCGCTGAGAGCATTTGTTAAGTATCCATTACGCACAGACTGTACAAGGCGGGTGGGGGTTGGCGGGGGGTGGGTACCTGGGATTTGAAGTAGGTCTCCTGTGGGGTGGACAGGACGTCGGCGGAGGCGATGTCGAGGTGCAGGAGAATCTGCCGGAAGGATGGCCGGTTTCTGGGCTTGCAGTTCCTGTGGAATGCATGAGGAAGAGGGGTTTGTGGGTAACGCGAATGAAGCGTCCGTAAGCGTCTCTAAGTGCCTAATCCGACTCCTATTGGCCTTCCGATGACTCCATGTGTGACTCGATCTTTACACCCATTCTGAAATATGACTTGCGGCCGCTACGGCCGCTATCCCAACACCCCCCCCCCAGGCCGGGGGCCTCACCAACACTGGCGAAGCAGAATCTTGAAGCCGTCGGGGCAGCTGTCCGGCACGGGCAGCTGCAGACTGTTGTTGCCCACGCCCCAGATGATGGCAGAAGAGTCCACATCCTTGTAGGGCACCTCTCCCGTCAGCATCTCCCACAGCACCACCCCGAATGACCTGAGGGGAAGAACGAGAGGATGAGCGCAAGGGAGGGAGGGAAACGAGAAGGCGGCGTCGAGGAGGCCCAGGGGGGAGCGGGGAACTGGCTGAGACCAGTCTACTCTAGAATGGAGGAGATTTAATACGACACACAAGAGAGCCACAGAGCATCCGAAAAGCTACTCGCTGCTGCCCCCTAGAAGAGTCAGATGACAAAAAGCATTACCTCCCAGCAAACTTGATTTGTACAGTCCCCAATACGGACCTGCTGCCTTCCAGGAATATTCCTCACCCCCACAGCATGTGTAACAGTCCTGGGACTCGCGTCACATCGCTGCTTGGCATGCCAAGGCCCCTCCGGGTTTCTGCCGCAGGCTGCGTGTCGCTGCCATAGCGGCGGGCTGCCTGACCCGGGGCCTGGGTCCTGTCACACCAGGGCTGCAAGGCCCATGAGACACGGTGGTCGGGGCAGCTGGGCCGTGGTTGTTATTGATGGAATCGCAGGTTACCATGGAGACCGCATCTTCATGGCTGAGTGGCCATGAACGTGCACACGGTTAAAGTCTTATGCCTTACTAACAGACAAACATTCACTATAACTCATCTACACTACCCAGATGACATTCAGAAGGTTAAAAAACTATAGACCAAATATATAATTTAAATATCAATATTAAGCTATTTTAATAACAGATTAAAGTGAATGGAGTTTTGCCCTTGAGCTTTTAGCTTAATGTTTCTCTAAAAATCGTGCGAGGAAGCCTAACTTTCCAGTGTCTTTGCAGAAGGTTTTAATGGATTATATAATGTCTGTTGTGTCATCTATTAATGAATTAGATTTTTTAATAGATTGTTTAGATGGCTGTTTTATCAGCATGGCCCAACATTCCAAAATACAGAATCGTAATAAAAGCAACAACCATGGCAGGTCCAGGAATTATTTTTGCCATTCAGGAACTTTGTTTGGAATCAAAAAAAAAAAACACCCTTTTGTATCTTTGCAAAAGACCGACATGATTCTAGTCTCAAAACACTGTAACCATCCCTGTATGTGTCTGTGCGAGTTCCGTTTCTCTTGGATGACGTGTGGCTCTCGAATGGACCTGTCTTCCGATGAAAGTGAAGATCTGATTCTTTGCAAATATAAACAAAGAGGTTGAGATTGACAACTGGGATTTCAGATAGCAGTGGGGGAGGGGGGCAGTTCGTAAAAACGGTGTATGGATTTTCAAATGAGCCTTGGCAGGATCTGATTTGAGTTTACCTGCTTACTGCCATCTTTTCCCCTTAGCTGCCCCTCCTGTCCTTCTTCATCAGAGTTAAGGAAGCCGGATTCGGCCGAGTTTTGTGTGCTTTATGTGTGCGTGTGCTGTACATCCACACCTGCATGGGATCACCAATGCTTTTCCGTTAACGGCGGCATGTGAAATGCGACCCCCTCCTCGGGATGGAGCTCTGAGTCTGACAGCTTGTGTCACTGGTACATGGTAGGAGGTACTGCGGTACAACACAGTGTTTCCCAACCCAGTCCTTGGGAACCCACAGACAGTCCACATTTTTGCTCCCCCCCCCCAACTCCCTGCCAGACAGTCCACATTTTTGCTCCCTCCCAGCTCCCTGCCAGACAGTCCACGTTTTTGCTCAGGAGGTCTGGCAGGGAGCTCAGAGGGAACAAAAACGTGGACCGGCCATGGGTGCCCAAGGACCAGATTGGGAAACACTGGTGTAGCACCTCTTCATTTCTTACATTTATCATGTTTAGTATAACAGAGGGTGTCAAAGATCCAGGTCGAAATGGCACCCTCCCTATCACTGGTCCAATGTCTGCAAACACTTTACTTCAGGGGGCACAAGTAACATAGTAACTGAGTTACTACTCAAGTACAAGTCAAGAACAAATATAGTAACTGCATGAAATTCATGAACTGTTATGACTGATTAATGATGAACGAACATGGGATCAGTACGTAACTAACAGTTAGTTTTTGGTTAATTAATACATTAAGTAAGAGTGTACTACTACATTATTTGTGCCCATAAGTATAGCAGCGTTTCCCAATCCGGTCCTTGGGGACCCACAGCCGGTGCATGTTTTTGTTCCCTCCCAGCTCCCGTAAAAACATGGACTGTCTGTGGATCTCCGAGGACCGGATTGGGAAACACTGAAGTAAAGTGTTACCCAGAGTCCCAACCGAATGAGCCAGACCATGCATCATATTCATGAAAACGTCTGCGAGCGATTCCGACATCTGTGGGCATCCTGTTGCTGTTATCCCCTGTTGCCCATTATGGGATCTTGGTCCCCCCCCGTACCCATGACCCGGGTATGTCACCATGTGGTCAGTAGGGCACTGTGCGGCCAGCCCGTCTCAGGGCCTGGTCTCCCAGGCCAGCAGCAGAAGAGATGACCTACCTGCTTGACTAGATCCCCACATGCAACTACTTAGATGGATGGCCTTCGGGTTAATATGGTATAATTAGCCCGCGGGCAGTTGTCATCATTACCGGGGTCATGGCTTTAGCACAGCTTGACCGCATCCAGTGCGCAAATTCTTCCTCTGACAGCAGTGCCAGTCGCACATCATTACAGTCATGGGGCCTTTTTTTCTGTCCTACCAAGTCCAGGAAATGGGGAAACTCAATTACAGACCCTGTGTGCAAATCCTCGGGGGGAACAGCACTACCAGAGTTCACCGCCCAGACCCTCAGACGACCACATGCGACGAGTGACGGGCACACAGGTGAGGCGGCTTCAAACGGGATGGGCGGCAGGCACGTTTAGCTAGCTGCGACGGTGTCGTTCCTTTAAGTCGCGCACCCAAAACAGCTGGAAAAACACTAGAGGTAGCAGTATGAATTTGCTTAGCTATTCAATTTCCTGCATCTTCTCCTGGAATACTGAAGAAAGAGCATCGGAGAACAGAACACAAGCCCGACGGGCTGCATTTCAGGCACTCACTGTGTTCAGTGGTACCCTGAGACCCTTGGTCCTCTCTACCAAACGCACTTCGCTCTGAGGAGTCTGTACTGTCAGAGTATATTAGTGAGTAAAACTGAAGAACAGCCAAAACAAGGCAAGAGCTTCTCTGCCTGAAGATGAACCTCTGGCATTTATGTAAATACTCGTTTTTTTGTTTTTTTTTTTATATGGAACTTTTTTTTTCTCAATAAAACAAGAGGAAATCAGATTCTCCCGTTTCTGCAAATGGAGTGTGGGCTGAGGGCCAAACCACAAGGCTTTCAGGTTATTTCAGCCGCTCCAGAGCATCTGGCAAATCAATTATTGAATTATCCAGCAATGCTTTCAGGTTAGGGAGTGGAAGAGGCAGAGCTGCAGCCTCCTCCATAAACTCCTCTGTGGAAATCCTCAGAGTTTTCTAGATGTTTATTCAGAATGCAGGGCCGTAATATCGCCAAATTCTTGCACTACTGTGTGCGCTTAATTTTAATGTTGTCTTTAAGTCTGTCATGAAATTAGCTAACAATGACTTTTAACAGTTTTTGACAAACTCTAGAAAAGCAAATTAAAAACTGGATAAATACATCCCAGTGATTATCACCAGGGTAATCAGTTGGAGGATGACTCGTAATTCTACACAACATAGTATGAAGAATTTAAAAAAATTGTAAATGATAAAATACATTGCATGAATCTAAATTTACAGTAAATTAACTCTCTAGTATTGATTATGCTATATTTCCCATATCTCCATTTCATAAACTAAACTAAGCATGTACCAACCTTTTTGAAAAGATTACAGAACTATAGAGGTGCATCTTTGTATTTCCTTCCTGAACTTTAATTGTAATGCAGTTTGTAAATGTTGATTAAACCAGTTTCGCTGATCTGGTGCTTGCCTCACTTGCCTCTGCCAGTTTACTGCACGTTACTGAGCAGCAAGTCTCTACCTCTAATGATCATAAAGTCAGTGTCATATCCATCTACTTCTTGTATACATTGATACTGAAGGTTCATGTAATAGTCTATCAATCAACAGTCTATCAATCAACAGTCTATCAATCGTTCATCATTTTCATCCTTTGTGTCTCTTTTGGTAACACCCTGTTAGCCCCTCCCTCTCTCTCTCTCTCTCTCTCTCTCTCTCTCCCCCTTCCTCTCCATCTATCTCACACACTCTCTTACTTTCTGCTTCAGCAATATTTCCCCGTCCGATATTTCCCAGCACTTACCAGATGTCCACTTTCTCGGAGACCGGCTCGTTCCGGATGACCTCTGGGGCCATCCAGGCCACGGTGCCGGCGAAAGACATCTTGGTGCTCTTGTCACTCAGCTCCTTCGAGGTCCCAAAATCGGAGATCTTCACCAGGTCATCGTAAGTGATCAGCATGCTGGGATGGACAGAGAGACAGAGGGGGAGAGAGAGAGAGAGAGAAACAATGAGTGAATATTTGCTGGGCACGTTCCCAGAGCCGAGTGCCATGCTGCCATCCTGCCCGGGCCGGGATTCCTACGGGCCTCGTTCTACGTAATCCCCATCTGTTCCGCGCCAACCCCAGGTGCTCTCAGTTAAAGGTGAAAGCCCGGGAGACAGTCGCTTCGCCAACAAATGTAAAAAACTCACTTGGGGGACTTGAGGTCCCGGTGGATGATCTTGTGGAGGTGCAGGTAGTTCATACCCCCGGCGATGCCCATGGACCAGTCGACCAGGAGGGACGGCGTGATCTTGCGGCCGGCGCGCAGCACCTCGTACAGCTGGCCCTGTGCACAGTACTCCATGATGATGCAGTAGCAGGGAGCCTGGGTGCATATGCCCCTGAGGAGAGAGAACGGCCCTGGTGAAAGATGATCAAACACCAGCAGGACACGGGTGGCACAGACGACCCTGGGTGGGTCTCTCTCCTGCCCTCACTTGAAGGTGATGATATTGGGGTGCTTCAGCTTGCGTAGGTGCTTGATGTCGGTCTCCTTGATGTCCCGCACCTTCTTGACTGCCACCTCCTCCCCGTGGAACTTGCCCAGAAACACGGCGCCCTGTGCCCCGCTGCCCACCCACTGCAGGTCCGAGATCTCCTCGAAGGGCACCTCCCAGACCTCTGAGGGACAAGCAGACAGGGGCATCTCCGTGAAGACGAGACAGGTGTAGACAGGAAGATGGTCAAAGTTAGCAGGGATGGGACGCGTGAGCGAGGACAAGGCTGTGGTGAGACAAGTGGCAGAATTTATTGAAAGAAAGTGGTGGTACTGAGGTACTGGCTATGAATAAATAATGTAAAATATTATTTTTAGCGGTAGCATAGTGGTTGAGTACATGGCCTTGAAACCCAAAGGTAGCTTGTCTAGGTCTTAGAAGGAGTCAAGCTGTTGTACCCTTGAGAACGCTAATTAGCCTGAATTTCTCCACTAAAAATATCCAGCAACGTAAACAGGCAAAATCGTAGTTAATCTGGTATGGGGGACAAAACACACAATGCAACACATGTGCAATCAAAATATATCATGTACATTATGGATAATGCGATCGCTTTCTGTCCTGTTATCGGCCCAAGCCGGCACGGTTTAGTCAGACCAGTATGGAAGAATGAGTATAAGCAGCCCTCAGGGCATTGGGTCGGGGAGCCAGGCAGACAGACAGACGTCAGTAATCTTCTGGGGATAATGTGCTTTCGGCGGTAAATCCTCCTTACTGCCATTGTGCAGGAGCACGGTGGCGAAAATGTCAGCCGTAGGAAAGGGGGGGGGGGGGGAAGGAAGACAAAGGTGGAGGGACCAGGATTTGGAAACGCGCATATTCCCCATGTGCACACAGATGCACATGCACACACACACACAAGCGCACACATGTGCCAGAGCTATCATTGATCTGAGACCCCTCCTCCTTGAAAGAGCGGCCAACTAGAATAAATATATAAATTCTAAATTACCGAAACCATTACACCAGGATGCTTTGCCACAGATAAATCCGATCAACATTTGTTATTGTAATATATATTAAAGAATTCATTTTAATCTATTTGTGTCTCCCCAAGGATAAATTGCAGCATCCCCAATTTTAGCATCCTTTAAACTATTAACCAGACCAATTAGAGTCCCATCCAGATCCCCTGTAGTTCTTTGGAATTTGGACGCAGTGGAAGGAATCCAAAAATCTGGAGCTGTTTGCAGAAGCCACAACAATTCTGCATCTCTAAAGGGAGAATGCAGCACGGCTGCCGTCTCATTGTTTCTGGGGTATATCAGGCACAAAAAATGGGAAGAATCTCTGTTAGCAAAACGAGGGACAGAAGAGGACTGGGAGGTTAATGGTATAAATAATGAAGATAACGGGTCTGTTAAGAGGGACGAGGGGAAGGGTGATATAAAGGACTGGGGGTGGGGTAGCTTGAAAAAAAAAAAGGGTTAATTTGGGCTGGTTTTTTTTTCTGAGACACATCTGTCACTCTCTCACTCCGCCCAACGAGTTGAACCAGCACTTTGTCATTGAGGCAGGACTGTCTCGTGTTAATAGAGATGAGAGGTGAGGGGGGTTGGGGGGGGGTCAGCGTGACAGGATGAATTAAACATGAAGCAGATTCCGTGCCGGAATCCCCAGGGGGCCCCGGGCTATTGTGATGTCTGCAGACGTAAACAGGACTGGGTCACATGGGTATATGTCACGCTGGTAGAGGCGGCGGGGAGGTGAATTTCAAAGAAACACCCCAAGGAAGCAAGGGCACATGTATGGCAGCTACCTGGCTTTCAAAAGCCTTTTTACGGCTGTGATTCTGCCAGACGGAGAGTAGTAACAATGTCTTTGTGTGTAGATAATACAGGGGCTTGATAAAATTACATTCGGGGTCTTAATTAACACATAATATGACTGCGATTATGGCGAAAGTATTACAAGCTATTTGGAGCCATGTTAATTGCAGAAAAGGTAACATTCTGAAGTCCATTAAAGGAGGCAGAGAAACTATTTGTGTGGTGTCTCAATCGGCCGACAATTTGTGGATTAAAATTCACTGAAGACAAACTAATTTTTTGTGACAAGATTTTATAGGAGAGTATCTATCTGAGTAACAAAAAACCATTTTGCTAGAATATTTTGGACAAATTGCCAACCTGGATGGTCCCCTTTATATATTGGATTCAAACAAACACAATTAAATATTACTTACCCAACTGCCTGTTAGTGCTATCATTAATATTACTACGGCTCCTAACTTTATAGTTCAATTTGTAGCTACTTCTATAGCCTGTTAGGAAGTCCTCCAGCCTGAAGGTGGCACTGTAGTTTCTTACCTTCCTGATTGTGCTTGTGCTCAGTTGAATATGCCTTGCCAATCATTGTCCAGACAGGTTTCAGACATCCAAATAGTCCCTCCAGGAAGCCGCCACCTCCAGACTGACACTGCAGCCTGACGTCGTCGGTTTGGCCACGGACGCACTCTGAATTGCGGCCCGCCTCAGCACCAGCTCCGCTCGGGCTGCCGTCATTCTCGTGCAGCTTCAGGACGCTGTTGGCAAAGTGGTCGGGGGGCTCGTCGCTGGGTGAGGGGCTTTGACCACACACATTCCCGCAGCCGCTTCCGGGCACCACAGCGCCCCCCGTGTCAATGGACAGCACATTGCGCAGCACGCACTGCGTGGGCGTCAGGTCTGTTTCTGGAGTGCAGGCTGGGGTGTCGCTGTCCAGCCGGCGAAACAGGGGCTCCGACAACGGAGTGCTGAGACCCGAGAGGGAGGGAGAGGGGGCTCGGGGCTCATGGATGCAGGCCATGTGCGGCTGTACTCATCGGGACGCCCACGACACACCAGGTAAGGTCAAAAGTCGCCGAGTCCTAGAAGGAGACACGGGAATCTGGAGGAACAAGGAGTAAAGAAAGACGGTCACTCTTTTCAAATGCTTTAGTCCACATCACCTTGGGAGGATCATCTGTGGAACCAGCCAAGAAGATGGAACCATCACAGAGATCCACTTGATCACAGTTAAGCCAAGCGCTGGATGCATTTCAATGTGGATATCAGTTAGGCATGTTAATTATTTTCCATCCCTTGCACAGAGCTCTTGAAGCTGTGCCACGCTGCTGTTAGCATAGCTGAGAAAGATAGCAGGAGAAGCACACTTCATACCCAAGGACATCCTACTCAGTGCAGCTGTTAGAAGCAAGCCAAACAAATACATGCAGTTCCCTAAGTCAAGCCATTTTCTCTGTGCAAAAACTGGGATAATCTCTTGCTGGAATAGAAGCCTTCTGGTAGCTATGCAAGCTTAGCTGTGTGTTATATCCATCCATCAATCCATCCATCCAGTACAGGGTAATAACAGCAATAAAAATAAATATATTTATACATATATACATACACGCAGTTATGTGAAAAAGTAAAGTAACTTTCAATTCTAAGGTTTTAAGTATCAATTTATATAGTGACTAATATATGTATAAAAAAAATCTGGTCCTTTGAAGATCTTAAAATTAGGTAAATACAACCTGAACAAAAACATGACATTTATACCATGTCATTATTTATTTAACAAAAACTATCCCAAAATGCTGAAGCAGTGTGTGAGAAATTAAGTTCACTTTTACTGTTTCCATGGGAATTAAGAGGATCAGTAGCAGTCAGGTGCTGCTAATCAAATGCACTTGATTAACTGATCATCGGCAAGTGTGACCAGCTGCTATAAAAGCAGAAGTTTTGGCAGTTTACTGGTCTGGAGCACTGAGGTGTGTTAACACAATGCCAAGGAGGAAAGACATCAACAATGATCTCAGAAAAGCAATAACTGCTGCCCTTCAGTCTGGGAAGGGTTATAAGGCATTTTCCAAACAATGTGAAGTCCATCATTCTACAGTGAGAAAGATTATGCAAGTGGAAAATATTCAAGATGGTTGCCAATCTTCCCAGGAGTGGATGTCCCAGCAAATCCACCCCAAGGTCAGACCGTGTAATGCTGAAAGAAACGGCAAAAAAAACAAGACCACATCTCAGACTCTATAGGCCTCAGTAAGCATGTTAATTATTAAAGTTCATGAACATGCAATTAGAAATAGACGGAGCAAGTATGGCTTGTTTGCCAGGAGAAACCTCATCTCTCTAAAAGGAACATGGCAGCATGGCTTAGGTTTGCAAAAAGTTCCATCTGAACAAACCACAAGACGTCTGGAACAATATCCTTTAGACAGATGAGACCAAAATGGAGATGTCTGGCCATAATGCACAGCACCACGTTTGGTGAAAACTAAACATAGCATATCAGCATAAACACCTCATACCAACTGTCAAGCATGGTGGTGGAGGGGTGATGATTTGGGTTTGTTTTGCAGCCACAGGACCTGGGCACCTTGCAGTCATTGAATCGACCATGAACTCTTCTGTATACCAAAGCATTGTAGAGTCAAATGTGAGGCCATCTGTCCGACAGCTAAAGCTTAGCCGAAACTAGGTCATGCAACAGGACAATGATCCTAAGCACACCAGCAAATCTACAAGAGAATGGCTGAAAAAGAAACTAACCAAGGTGTTGCAATGACCCAGTCAACCGGATTGAAATGCTATGGCAGGACCCTAAGAGAGCTGTGCACAAACGAATGTCCGCAAACCTCAATGAACTGCAGCAACATTGTAAAGAAGAGTGGGCCGCAGACAGTCCACGTTTTTGCTCCCAGCTCCTACTAGGGAGCTGGGAGCAAAAATGTGCATCGTCTGTTGGTCCCCGAGGACTGGGTTGGGAAACACTGCTCTAAGGCATTTGAGATAATGGATGAAGCAGAATTTACACTCTGCATGAAAGAAACATGTTTGCGCTTCATTGTCCAACTAAAACCTGTACAGCGGTCTAGTGCCTGATAAGATAAAAGAGTAAGAGGTCTGTGACTCATTATGGCATGACAATCATGCCACTGAAGCAGACAGAAAGCAATTTAAAAAAGCAATAGCCCTCACAGAGAAAAACATTAACAAAAAAAATTCAAAGGAAATGAAAGGTGCGTTCAAGGCCGACAGCAGGAGGACATCAGATGTTCCCTTTTTATTCAAATAGTCATAAAACATTAAAGGAAATTTTCAGGCAGAATGTACAATGCTGCTGTCACATTCCTTTGAAAGGCGAATCACAGGAGAACATTGCCTGAACCACGATGGCCTACAGTTTGTTTATATACAGAGAATGTTTATCAGAAGCTAGATCTGGGTAGAGCAAGTCTAGGGATGAATGACCATCAGCACCATACCAGAAGCCAGTGGTGCCTCTATGTGTTACTGCTTCCTCTTTGTAATGTAAATGTTTGAATATAAATTCTCAGTCATCCTGTCTCATACTGGTGAGGGTGAATTCCATCCTCCCAGATGTTACTACTAGGAAAACAGGAATTAACCCAGGACAGGGCACCAACCCATCACAGGGCACACACACCAATCACACCTATGGATAATCTGGCAACTCCAGGTCCCATAGCATGTTTTTGTATTGTGGGAGGAAACCCCATGACAGCACGGGGAAAACATGCAAACTCCACATATGCAGAGACTCAAAAACAGAGGCCTGAATCACCAAGGAAAAATTCTTGCTTAGCCAGGTAACTTGTTGGATTTAAGGTAGTTTTGGCAAAATGTAATTGTGCTTTTCCACTGTTATACAGGAACCAACCTGTACTCGTCCGACACCTGACCTGTGCCGCGAGTACAGCATGGTTCCAGCTAACATTGGTTTTCCACTGCAGAAGGGTCGGCTCAGTAAAGGTGTTGCTGCGTTTGGAGACCAACAGTGATGTGAAATCAAAGGCACATTGAATTACTGTTCACACGGCGTACATCATGATTTACTATATGCAATTATTATTATTATTATTTTACTGTGCTAATTTCACATCTGAGAATTGCTGTGTTATGAAAGTATGAAATGCTATTGGAATTAGCATTAAGTTGCATAAATATGCATTACGAGTTCAGCTGTTCCATATGACTTTTTTAAGTAAGAGGTTGGAAATGTTCAAGTTCCGAGTTTTCGGGAATGCATTGCGATGTGCAATACTACTAATAATGAATAATGTATAGAATGTACACTTTTCTCTGCAGATAATCCATGCACAGACTATCAGTCTCTGATTTCCACCAATCAGATGGTGGTGACACAACTCAGTTTGGTCACGGCCTATCAGCTCGGGTATGGCTTGGGTACGACTCGCATACTTCGCAGATCGGGTACGGCACAGGTACGGCTCGGGTATGGCTCCCATACTTCGCAGATCGGGTACGGCACAGGTACGGCTCGGGTATGGCTCCCATACTTCGCAGATTGGGTACAGCTCAGGTACGGCTGGCATACTTCGCAGATCGGGTACGGCTCGCATACTTCGCAGATCGGGTACGGCTCAGGTACGGCCCGCATACTTTACAGATCGGGTATGGCTCGCATACTTCGCAGATCGGGTACGGCTCGCATACTTTACAGATCGGGTATGGCTCGCATACTTCACAGATCGGGTACAGCTCGCATACTTCGCAATGAAAAAGCACCAGTTTATGGTACAGATCGGATATGGCTCGGTTCTTGGTGTAATGGAAAAGCACCAGAACTGAGCAAAGATGGTTTAAATAAACTGGGATACCTTAAACCTGACAAGTTATCTATAGCTAACCAACAAATCTTGCTTTGTGATACAAGACACCAGGTTTCCATGGGTGTGAGTCCATCTCACGAACCACAGCACCACCGTCCAGAAACATCTTTGGGTGTCCTTTTGTAAAACATACAAATTTGGACCACAGTGATACCATAGGACAGTAGACACATGACCTTGCAGTTTCATTTAAACATATAAGGAAAAAACAGAATGTGTTTTGAAAACATATTATCAGGTATATGGCAAGTAATCTATCCATCCATTTTCCATACTCACTCATCCTATGCAGAATCTCATGGCTCCAGAGCCAATTCCAAAAGATACAGGCACAAGACAGGGAAAAACCCAGGATGGGACACACGCAATTTGGCCACTCCAATTCACGTTTTTGTACACATGTGGAGCAAGGACAGAGACTCAGAAGAAGGTGTGAGACAACAATGCTTAATACAGGACCACTGTACCACCCAGGAGAGTCAAAATAATGTAAATTCATAATTTATGTACATATAGTACTATCAAATAAATCATCAAACAGATCATATGAGGATGTTTCAGATAAAGGTCTTTGGTGAGCTCTGAAAATTACTTATAGTGGCATGGAGACTTCACACCTCCAAGATTGCAGGTTCAAATTAGCATGCAATTGTGTGTGTAAATGCATGACATGTCCAAGATGTGCCCTACCAAGTACCCTACAACCGACACCATTGTTACCTGTACTGAATAAAAAGTTGGAGGATGGGTGGATATTTTAATCTTAAGAGATTACCACACCGGATATCTTTACAATCGTTGTCTGGTTAACTTTTGGAGATTTGTATATCCACGTTTTACATTTCTAACGATTTTAACTAAACTGAAATTGTTCGCTTTTTTTTACTCGGGCCATTAACGCTCAACAAAAACCACAGTCCTTCTGAAACGCTATTTTCAAGCATATTTATACGTACTTTTGATTTATTTGATGCATTTAATGCAACGGACTTTAACATTTCGAAAGGCAAAACGTGTCACAGCTACGCACGACATTTAATTAGACCGCATTACGTTTCCAGTTCGACCGGAACAACCATTAACGGTTGGTACCGTTACAGCGTTATGTGTTAGTGTCTGCTCTTCCTTTGGCGTCCTACAAACCGTATAATATTACTGGCATTCACTGATAATGTTAGTATCCCTATAAATATGCCCAATCACCCAATATGCTTCTCCTTTGTCGATCAAGCGCGAC